TGTGTCACTTGGGAAGATGGTTGGGTGATGCTTTCATATGGCCTGAAGTTGTCCACTGAATATGCTGGCTCTGGGGCCTCCCAGGAGGTATAGGTCAAGTTGAGCCACTGCCTGTGTTCTACCCAGAGCTGCCTGACGTGAGTGATCTGTAGATGGCTGCTACTAGTACCACGTTTGAAGGTGCCTGGTAGAAGCCAAACTGTGAGCCAAGGCTGGCTGCTGCTAGTGTCAGGCCTGGGGCAAGAGGTATGGGGCACACTGAGGCCAGATACTGCTTGTTTAAGAGATTTTAGGAAAGTCTGAAGCATAAGCCAAAACAAGCCATACATATGGAAAAGCCACTAGAAACAGCTTGGGTGGGCCCCTGTGAGCTGGTTAGGGTGGAGTCTCAGGAAATGTCCAGGGTAGAGTGAATGGTATGATTCAGGTTAATGGAGTCTCAGATATGGGACCTACCTGCTGGTTTGGTGAGGGTAGGAGGGTCTCAGAAAAGGAACAGTGGTCTCTGCCAGCACTTCTCTCTGGGAGGAGGCTATTCATCCAACTCTTGCCTTGATGACCAACACTTCAGGTCCTCCTGGTATGTCCCTGGTAGCTTTTGAGCTGCTGCCCACTGGAGCTCAGCAGGAGTGAGTCTGAGTAAGTTCATGCATAGGCCCTTTAAGAGGAATGCCTGGGACTCTAGAAGCCTTCCATCTCTCTCTGCCATAATCCCCGCTGGTTTTTACAGCCAGAAGCCATGGGCACTGCTCTTCCCTGCACTAGAACCTTGGGCTGGGGTGCCTGGTGTGGGCCTGGGACCCCTCGCTCCTCAGGAGGGACTTCTGCAGTCAAGATAGACCTCCCTATTTTTATCTGGTACATGGGAATTACCCATTCCAGGTCTCCACCCCTCCTACCAGTCTCGATGTGGCTTCTACATTATATCTTTAGTTGTAGGACTACTGTTGAACTACATTTCAGGCAGTTCTGACTGGTGGTTCTGTAGTTTAGTTGTATTTTGGGTGTAGTTGTGGGAGGATGTAAGTACTGCATTTACCTATGCTGCCATGTTGACCAAAAGCCTTGGATTTTAACTTTTGATTTTAGCTGAAGAATTATATTATTTCTTGTTACTCCATGGACACTTTGAAACTATTATTTTTTTGGATAAGATGAACTAAAATTATGTTAGCATCTAATAGCTAATCATCTACTGTATAGTTAGTAGTTGCTTATAATACATCAGACTCTGCATGTCATTGCAGAGATGATTGGAATCCACCTAAATGTCCCTAGTTAAAAACTGGTTACCTAAATTACTGTGGAGGCTAATAGCTATTTTTTTTCCAAAGAGTTGGCTTATATAAAGGTTTATTGGGTTTATATGTGGTAATATTCAATTCATAAGTTAATAAAGACACAAAACAGTGAATCTAGCATATTGCCATTTATATAGGGACACACACAGACCCAGACACACACACACACACACACACACACACACACACACACACACACACACACACGTATACTGAGGTAAACAGAGAACATCTCTGGAAGGCCATATTAGGAACTGATGAGTGGCTTTGTGGAATGGACCTGAGAGTTGTTAACAAATAACCTTTTGTGTCTTTCTAAATTTTGCACCATGTATTTGTACTATATATTCAAAAAGTAAATATACAGTATAATGAAAATGGAAGGAGAGAGGTGAAAAAATTAGTCTGGCTTGTTAATAGCTTTCAAGATATAAAAACTGAGATCCTAGGTTCATATAGTACAGACCTGCTTTTGAGAGGCTGTTAGGTAAAAAATATCACTAATTTTTACTGGTAGGTAGTTCTTTTATTTCATAAATTTTTCTTTGTCCAGAATAGAGAGCTCGTCAAAAGAAATATAAATGGTACTATCCCTTTGCATATATTCTGAGAAAAAAAATCAAATTTAAGGAAAAATCACAAAATGAAAAAGTACTTTATTTACGTAAATTTAAGCATTTTGAAAACAAAAAAATGTTTGAACATTCTCTATTCCTGGGCTTAGAATATTTCTCTCTCTATACTATGATTAAAGTTCTTCTCTTTTTCAGCCCTTTCATTCTGGATCCATTTGGAAAAAGGATTTTTGGTGGTGGGGGCGTTTTTTGTTGTTGTTGTTGTCGTTTTTCTCTCTTTAAGTGGACTCAGCAAGAAAAATAATAGAATGGATATTTAGGTTATTTTTACTGATAATCCAATACATATAGATGTAGTATAATTCTCTGATAAACAGTATCATCATCAGAATTTCCCAGCATAACCCAGAGCTTGCCAAGGCATATGAATAAAATAGTATGATGGAAAGTGATCACAAACATTTTATCTTGTTTCTTACAAAAACATTTACAAGAAAATGCCTAATTTTTAAAAAAGGAGTGAGTACTAAATTCAGCATGGTTGACATCAGAAGCTCCTTTATTTAATCAAATTAAGCCCCACAGTCTTTTCCCTTGTCTAATTTAAACATTACTATAGCAGACAGGATTTGCTGAGTTCTTCTTCTTGGCTCATGGCACAGATTCTGCATATTTTTAAACTAAACAATTAAATAAAGTTTGCCAAGAGGCTTATTCAGCAAGCACATGAAGTAAATTTGGAGAAAAGAAGTATTACTCTCCTCCCCTCACTGCTGCAGAGTGTCAGAGCCGCAAGGAAATCACGTGTGTAACATGGGGCAAGTTAAGGAATTACTTTGGGAGAAGCTGGTTTCTGTGAACGGAGTCGTAATGACATGCTTGCAGTCATACTTTAACAGCTGATTTGTGAAGGCTCACCCAGAAGTTACCTTCATAAGGCCCACCTAGAAACAGCCCTGATAAGAAATTACATATACAAAGAATACATTTATCAAAATTTAAAAACCTATCAGCAAATTAGGAAGAGGAGTTTTTTTTCCTCTTAGTTTGCTAGATAAATGTGTGATATTTTGTTTTAATGGGAGCCCAAATATAATATGGGGAAAAAATGTTTCTGTGTAGAAAATAGGTAACACACTTCCTCTAAGGTAAAAACAAAAAAGTTGATTGTTTAAAAAACACAGAACTCCTATATTTTATTTCAGAGGAGTTTAAAGTCTTATATACATTGTTCCTGCATTCTAGTATCTTTGTGCTTTTCTGTCAAAGTCAATAATTTTGAACAGCTTCTGGGGTTGTTCATTGCTCTCTACCCATTTTGACCAAAGCAAGATGAACTGAGTTTTCTAGAACAAATCTCTGTTTATTAGAGTGTTTCCAAAGTACTTCTTATGCTATTTTTAAATATTGCTACATTGAACAAAGAAAAAGAAGGGAAAACCCTCAAAAGTACAGGGGTAGCACTATGTTTCAAATGAAGTGTGTTTACAGGTTTGAAATTATCCAGAATTTCCACTTTTTGTGCATAAATTACCTTTGATTTCTTTTAAAGTAACCAGCCACTACTCACTTCTCTCTCTCCTCTTTTCCTCCTTCCTCTTTTCCCCTTTCTTTTCTTTCCTGACAAATTTTATTTCATTCAATTTCTTTATAAAACATCTGAACAACACAGAATATTATAAAAAAGCATAATTATATTACCAATTAACCCCAATACGAAGAAAGAACCATTATTATCAGTTGGCTTATTTCCTTCAACCTCACAATTTAGCCAAGCTTTTTGTATTCTTGGTTTTATTTGTACCCATTTATCACTCTACTTAGCTAAGAAGATGCTCTATGTATATGTGGCCTACTGTAATTCTTGGAATTCACTGACCTATTCCCTGTCCCCCACCCACTGAAGCCCCAGAGTTCTCCATCCTCTCTTCTTTTATCAGAGCCAGGACTTGGATGAGAGGACCTCCTGCCTTACCCAGCCCGTTTCTACCGCTGTCTCATAAACCATGATATTAGCTTGGCTCTGTTTTGGACCTTTTATCATGGCTCTAGAACAAAATGTATGTAGTCTGCTTAGATTCCAGTGCCCTTGTCAGGCTGTCATTCCTGTTCGTGTTCAGAAAGGTACCAAAACAAAGATTTTTAAACTTTCCAGCTCCCTAGTTCCTCTCATGAATAAACTTTGTTAACTTTGAATTAGGCCCAGACTGAATTGCCAAGTTATCTTGGCAGAATGGAACCCTCTTTCTTGAACTGTCTAAAAAAAAAGGTTTCAGCTTAGAGTTTCATAGTATGTGGGCCAGAAATTTTTTAAACCAGGGATCAGCAGCAAACTTTCTGTAAAAGGCCAGGTAGTAAATATTTTAAGTTTTGTGGGCTATGTGGTCTCTGTCACAGCTACTCAACTCTGCCATTGTAATGCAAAAAAAAAAAAAAAGGAAAAGAGAAGGAAGAAAGAAAATACGTACATTAATGAGTATGGCTACATTCAAGCAAAACTTTATTGATTTTAGAGAGAGGAAGGGGAAGACAGAGAGAGAGAGAAAGAAACATTGATTTTTATTGTTCCACTTATCCATGCATTCATACAGGGCTCAAGTAAAACTGTATTTCAACTATGGCAACATACCATAGTTTGCCCTATGTTTTAAGTCATAAATTTTTCTTTATTGATTTTTTTTTAGAGAGAGAGAAACATTGATTTGTTGTTCCACTTATTATGCATCTATTGGTTGATTCTTCTGTGGGTTGATTTTTGTATATGCCCTGAACCCACAACCTTGGCTTATTGGGATGACACTCTTAACCAGAACTGAGCTACCTGGCCAGGGCTGGAAAAGAGATAGATTTTAAGCTTTGTTTCAGAAAATGACACAGATAAAAGACAACCTGGAAAAAAAGACATTTAAAAATAATTAATGATTTTTTAAGGAAGAATTTTTGTTTCTTTGGATTTTTATTTTGGTCAAATAATTTTTTATTTTTTAAAAATATATACATATCAAATGTATTAGGCCTGCAAGTTTCAGTGGAGGGGCAAAAGTTTATTGTTGTTGATTTCATGATATATTTAGCATTGGTTTTAATTAATAAGTATTTGCTAAAAATACCTTGTTTATTTTAGGGGCTACGCTAAGTATGAGACCAGCCCCTATTCCAATAGAAGACCCCGAATGGAGACAAACACCTCCCCCAGTCTCTGCTACATCTGGCACCTTCCGACTGCGAAGAGGGAGTCGATTCACCTGGAGAAAGGAGTGCCTGGCTGTCATGGAAAGGTACGTGTCTCCTTTTGCTGTTAGCAGTCTTCTGAGGAGAGACACTTACGATATATTTGGACAGTTTTCATGTCAAACAAGTAATTTGGGATCTAGATTCTATCTCTAAAAGTATTTGTGAATTTTATAAGTGCTGCGTTATTGAAATAATATGTCCTTACATTGAGAATTCATAAAACTGGAGTTAACATCTCTCAATATAATTTAATAGTGTCTTCAATAATTTAAGAAACTTTAAAAGAAATTTTTTAACAACTAATAGTCAATTTATTAAAAAGGTTGATTTAAGTATCTGCCATGGTGATTCAGCCTTGACCCCTACCTAGCTCAATAATGATGGAAGGAGTCTGCTTAACAGTCTCAGAGGGCTGTGCAAGTCAATGAGTTGTCCATGTATCCTCATCTCAAACCAATCCCAAGTCTTAGAACTGTCCCCTCAGGGAGTTTTTCTTGCACTGATGATTCTCAGAGTCTTGGTAGGCATCGGAACTGGTCCTTTCACTCTGAGATTCTTTTCCTTTGAGCCTCTGATCAGGTCAGCTCACACCTTCCCCAAAGACTTTACATTGCAGCTGGTTAAAGTAACTGCAGTTTGGTGAACTGCCGCCTCTGGTTCCCCCAGTGTCTCCCTGGTATCTTTAAGCTATGCCTGTGGCACAGCCTCCTAAGGACTTGCTGCTCCTCAGCGAGAGTAGACAGCAGTGAGTCAGGAATAGGAGCCAGCCGACGGAGCTCAGTTGTAGCTGTGACTGTGTCTTTCTCAAAGAGCCAGAAGAATTTGTTTAAATTTAGATCTTCATATAATATTTTAAGAAAACTCTTTGGTATCTTAAATTCAACAAAATAATTGAATGATTAGGAAGCCACTGAGAAATTTTTTTAATGTAAAAAATTTTTCAGTTATGTACAATACTATATTAGTTTCAGGTATACGACATAGTGGTTAGAGTTTTATATAACTTAAAAAGCAATCCCCCAAAAGTCTGGTACCCACCTGGCACCATATACAGTTATGACAATGTTATTGACTGTATTTCCTGTGCTGTACTTTACATCCCTGTGTCTGCTTGTATAGCAGCAATTTGTACTTTTTAATCTCTTCACCGTTGTTGCCACTTATCTCTACAACCCCCCCTCATCTGGCAACCGTCAGTTTGTTTACTGAATCAATGGGTTGTTGCTGTTTTGTTTGCTTATTTTGGTTTTTTAGATTTCACATATAAGTGAAATCATATGGTATTTGTCTTTCTCTGCCTACTTACTGCATTTAGCGTAATACCTTCTTGGTCCATCCAAGTTGTTGCAAATTGCAAGATTTTGTTCTTTTCATGGCTGGGTAATATTCCATTGCATGTGTTCCGCTTTTACTTTACCCATTCAAATGTTGATGGACACTTAGGTTGCTTCTCTGTCTTGCCTATTGTAAATAACGCTGCAATGAACATGGGGTGCACATATTTTTTTAAATTAGTGTTTTGGTTTTCTTAAGATAAATACTCAAAAGTTGAATTGCTGGGTCCTATGATAGTTTTATTAAGTTTTTGAGAATCGTACTGTTTTTGATAGTGTCTGCACCAATTTACAATCCCACCAACAGTGCATGAGGGTTCCCTTTTCTCCACACTTCTTGACAATACTTGTTTGTTGATTTATTGATGGATAACCATTCTGACAGGTGTCAGGTGATATTTTATATTGGTTTTAATTTACATTTCTTTGATGATTAGTGATGTTGAGTGTCTTTTGATATGTCTGTTGACCATCTGTATGTCCTGTTGGGAGAAGACAGGTCTCTTCAGGTCTTCTGCCAACTTTTTAATTGGATTGTTTGTTTTTTGGTGTTGTATGAGTTCCTTACCAATTTTGGATATTAACCCCTTATTGGAGGTCTCATTGGCAAGTATCTTCTTCTAGTCAGTAAGTTTTTTGTTTTGCTGATGGTTTCCTTCGCTGTACAAAAATTCTTTAGTTTAAAGTAGTAGTTTAGTTTAAGGTAGTCCCATTTGTTCATTTTTTTGGTTTCTCTTGCTCAAGGAAGCATATCCAAAAAGAAATTTACTAAGAACAATGTCAGAGGGTTTACTACCTATGTTTTCCTCTAGAGTTTTATGGTTTCAAATGTTACAGTTAAGTCTTTAATCCATTTTGAGTTTAAGATAATGGCCAGTTTCATTCTTTTACATGTATTTGTCCAGTTTTCCCAACATCATTTGTTGAAGAGACTGTCTTTATCCCCTTCTATTCAATATTTTGTTGCCTCCCTTGCCATAGATATAGGCATGGGTTTATTTTGGGCTCTCTGTTCTCTTCCATTGATTTTTGTGTCTGTTTTAAGTGTCAGTGCCATGCTGTTTTTATTATTATAACCTTGTAGTATAGTTTGATAACAGGTAGCGTGATGCCTCCAATTTTGTCCTACTTTCTCAAGATTGCTTTGGCTTTTTGGAGTCTTTGTGGTTTTATATAAATTTTTGGATTGTTTTAGTTCTGTGAAAAATGCCATTGGTATTCTGATAGAGATTGCATGGAATCTGTAGATTGGTTTGTGTAATATGGAAATTTTAACAGTAGTAATTCTTTCACTTCATAAGCACAGTATGTCCTTTCACTTATTTGTATCTTTTAATTTCTTCCTTTAGTGTCTCATGCATTTTCACATATAGGTCTTTAACCTCCATGGTTTATTCCTAGGGATTTTATTCTTTTTGATGCAACTGTAAATGGGATTGTTTTCTTAAATTCTCTTTCTGATAGTTTGTTTTTGATAAAAATGCATCAGGTTTCTGAATATTAATGTGTCCTACTTTACTGAATTCATTTTATAAGTTTGAATAGTTTTTTGTAAAATCTTTAGGATTCTCTCTATATAGTGCCATGTAATCACAAATGATGACAGTTTGCCTTCTTCCTTTCCAATTTGCATGTCTTTTATGTCTTTTTTTTCCTCTTTGTTTGAGTACTGTGGCTAAGCCTTTCAACACTATATTGAATAAAAGTGTTGAAAGTGGACAGTGCTGTCTTGTTCCTGAACAAAAAGCTTTCAAATCTTCATTCTAGAGTATAATGTTAGCTGTGGGTTTGTGATATGTCCCTTTATTATGTCGAGGTATGCTGTCCTCAGTTTGCTGAGAGTTTTTAATCATAAATGCATGTTGGGTTTTGTCAAATGCTTTCTTCTCTGCGTCTATTGATATGATCATATTATTTTATCTTTCATTTTGTTCATGTGTTGTATCAGGTTAATTGATTTGTGGGTATAGAATCAACCTTGCACCTGGGAGTAAATCCCACTTAAGCATGGTGTGTGATCTTTTTAGTGTATTGCTATATGCAGTTTGCTCATATTTTGTTGAGGTTCTTTGCATCCATGCTCATCAAGGGTATTGGCCAATAATTTACTTTCATCTGGTTTTAGTGTCAGGGCAACACTGGGAGGCCACTGAGATTGAACTTTCCTTGATAAGACTAAGTGTGCTTAGTCTCAAAGGTCAGAAATACTTGTGTTTTTACTTTGACTTGGTAGTTAATTGTCTAACTGTAGCATCAGGACCTGATCCATAGTAGATACTCAGTGCTTTTTAAAGTTGAATTGACTTTGGATTCAGTTTTCCCATGTGAAATGGTATAAATTAATTACATATGATTACAAAGTGTTGAGTATATTTAGGGTGGATCTAAAGTAGAATTATCCTTTTAGTCTCAAGTAATGTTTATAGGATTTTGTTTTGATGGAGACTTTTATGTGGAATACTAATTTTCTGTTACAAAAATACTTCCTAAGATTAAATGAGGAGGAAAAGAATATATTAAGCAGAGGTAAAAACAAATGGGTTTTCATGTTGATACTTCTCAATAATTTCAATAATAAATTAAATTGAATGTATAAAACTAGTTTTAACTTCTCAGCTGATATAGAATAGATATTTACATCGAGAAAAAAGCTTCAGGTTTTTGAGATTTTTTTTCCAATTATCTAATCTGACCAGTCTAATGACATACTGGAAAAAGCATTTGAATCAGTCAGAAGACCTAAAATTTGGTTTTGGCTTTGCTATTAACCCAGCTGTGTAACTTTGTGCAGGTTATAAACTCTGAGCTGTAGCTTCTTCATCCTGTAAAATGAAGTTTTTCAATAGCCAGTAGCAAATTATATGTCATCTAGTACTTTGGCCATCTCTTTTCCTGCCTATTTCCTGATTATTTCCCAGCTTATTAACTTTGCTACCTGAAAGAGAAAGAGATTTAAAATGCTGGCGTTCAGGCCATGTGTCTGTTCTTGTGATAATGTGAAATGAAAAGGTTGCTTCAGGAAGAAGTTGGATCCAGTAGCCAGAATGAGACTATAGGTTATCATTGATGTCATCATCTGTTCCTTTCCTCACTCTCTTTATTATAGATAAGAGTAGAAGCCATTTATTGAATAAAACGAATCCTTATATGCTTGATTAAAGTGAAAGAATGAGATATATTGTCCCAGAGAACTGACATTTACAATCTGATTTTTCTCAAGAAATCTTGATTCCTTTAAAAATTGTCTTCAGAACTTACCATGTAACAGACATGAAGTTAAATAATAATAATGTTGAACTGATTTGAAATGTTATACATTTTTCTGTGTGTAACAAAATAAGTTCTGGTATTAGTTTCTAGTTGGTATAAGTTCTAATCGTGCTACTGCCTCATTTAATTTAATTTTTTTGTGACGATACCCATATACATTAATCACATAATGTCAGTGTGAGGAAGGATTAATTTAAAATTTGATAACATTAATAATGGTAGGTAATATTCCTAGTACGTTTTAAGACTTGAATGTCAAAGGCTTTGCAGTTCCTTTTATTTTTTTACAAGGGAACAAGAACTAGCCACAGTATCACAGTGATTCAGTTGCAGTTAAAAAGATACCAAGCACTTACCTGTATAAGGCTCCCATTTAATATTAATTTTCACTTTTTAACCCTAATTTTAATTAATAAGTGTCTTTAATCTATGCAACTGAA